TATTTCCAAATTGGAATATTTGCTACAATTAACAAAAATAACAGAAAAGACAATTAACAAAATACACCAACCTCTAATATGCTTGGCAAAACACAAATGCAATATGATGCATACAGCAAATAATTGCATAATGGAACACAAAGACCTTGGCAACTGCAAGACATTAGAACAAGAAATAACAGCAAAACAAATTAGTAGCATTTTTGCAAGACTAAACAAAAAAGATAACTTAGATGAACTAACAAGGCTTAGAATAACTCAAGGTTGCCAAGCAGTAGACTTAACAGAAGATATATGAAATGTAGAAACAGGATCAGAAGAGAAAAAAATATTGAAAAAACAATCTAGCATACCAAACAATAGCCAAAGCAAAAGATATAAGTATAGGCATCAGAGCAAGAGAATGCTTATAGAAGGTGTATAAACATGAAAGAAAGATAAGAGATATAATAGAAGTGAAAACATAGAAAGCAAATAGTATCAAAATAAATAGCTGAGAACTAATATATTTGAACCAGCTAATAGATATAAGAGGCAAAAAGCTAATTACATGAAGATAGCTTAAAAGTCTTCAAGGAAGGTTATGTAAAGAAAAAAAGTCAAAGTGGTTTAGTGAAATTGAGAAAAAGATATTAATAATACAAGCAAACAGAGAAGTATATGATCAATACAAATTGAACAATTATAATACATAAGTGCTAAAGATCACATAGACAAAAATGTTAGAAGATAAAAGAAAAAGAGAATGAGTTATTTATAGACCAAAGAATAATTAACAACTAGACAAAATAACTAAGAAAAAAGATAAAGAGATTTTAATAAAACATTGGTTAATATACAAAGAAAATAGGAAAACATCAACAGAAATAAGCAAGTGCAAGGGCTGCATAAATACACAAACACAGATGATAGAAAGATGTGAAAAGTGGATTCAACTAGATCACAACACAAAAGCCATTTCAGAACCAATAATAGAAAAAAATAACAACAGAATCAATGCGACAATAGACTGACTAAAAGAAAACAGAACAATAGAAGAATGGAGAAATGAGGAAGGAGATTTAGTCAGCCTCAAACAAGTAGAAAAATTAAAATAAAAATAATAAGAAAGCAAGAATTAGACAATATGCTCATAGAATGGTTAATAGAAATCTTAACAAAAAACAAAAAAAGAAACAAAGAAAGATATACTTTTTATACAAATGGAGTATTATACAAAAAAGGTGAAAAGAACAATATAGAAAGAATAGATATCAGATGAGTGCAAGTAGGAGAAGAAGTCAATTGGTCAGAAGAAAAAGTAGCACTAGGCCTAGAAGGATGGCTATTAGTAATACTAGCAGAGTTAGTAGCAATATGGGCAGCGATTATAACAGTAACTGAAGAAAAAAATATAAAAATTCATGCAGATAGCATTGTAGCAATAAAAAACATTAGTAATGCAATACAAAACACAAGGGATGAGAAAATTCTAAAAAAGAAAAATGCAATATGGATATTAAATATTACAGAGCTAGTCAAAAAGAAAAATGCTAACATAAAATTAATCAAAGTCAAAAGCCACAGTGAAGACAGATAGAATAACAGAGCAGATTTCTTAGCAAAAAAGAGAGCAAACTGCAAAGAAGTAGTTCAGACAGAAAAACTTAGATATGAAGAAATAGAATACCAACTAGAGTAGGAAAAGAAAAAAATAGATATACCTGCAAGACTTCTCTGCAAAATAATTGCAAACACCAGAATAGAAACCAATTGGGGAGATATAAACTCAATCAGAACTTTGGAACCAGAAACTGAACATACATGTTACAACTAATCAAGCTTTTGAAAAGAGATAAATAGAACAAAAAGAGTACATTGTATCTCAAAAAAACTAAGTACAAGAAGAGCCACAGCGATCAGTGTATAATAAACAGTCTACTGATACTAGTAGAACTAAATAAAAGAAGACCAGAGGTATATATGACAACAGAATGCCAAGTCTGTCAAAATAGTAAAGATGAAACTCAAAAGCATCTGGCAAGCTGTAATGAACAAAAAAGTATATGGAAACGAATACAAAAAGTTTCAACAGCAACAGCATAAAATAGGCTTAAAGAAGAGGAAAATATCAGAATTTTAGTGCAAATATTATACAAAGCACTGTTTGGAGAAACAAAAGCAGAAGAAGTTCTAAATAGAAAAGTGCTAATAAAAGGGTTACCAACCACTTCTTCTATGGTTCTAGAGCTTTTTTAAACCATCATCACAAAGTGATAGCTTCTTTTTAAACTCTATTTCAATGCCCACTATGCATGCTTAGTGCTTCAAAAAAGTTTTTATAGAGTTTAATATATTAACTATATCATTTTTCTGTAGTTCAGTATTTTAAAAAGTTTGGTTCAGATAATCATTAAAAAGAGTTAGATGGTATAATAATTATGTTATTAAATTAAATTATGCAAATATATATATTATATTTTTTTAATTAAAATTTTTTCATATAAATTATTTTAAAGACTAAAAAAAAAGATAATAAACAGTTATTAATAATATTTTAATTAACTTAATGAATAAATATAGTATAGATATTTACTATATATTTAATTTTATTTTATTTATACTAGCTCTTTATAATAGATAAAATATTATTAAAGGTTTTATATATATTTTGTAGTATAAAGACATAACTTCAAACAAAAAATATATTAATAAATATGAAGGATAGTGTTATAGTTTTATTAAATTCCAAATCTGATAATTTTGTCATAATATTAATATTAACTCTGATGATAATTTGTAATATATTACTTTGTTTAGATAAATTTGTCATCAAAGTTAGAGATTTTATATAATATAAAAATAATTTGTAATAAATTAAAAGACTATATATTCTAAAATTAGTTTTTGCAAATATTATTTTATGAATATATAATCTAAGAATCTTCTGTCCAAATAAATACAAACATTGATTGGCATAAATTTTGCTTAATAAAATTTTCTAATTGCAGTAAAAAATTCCTAACTGTAACAAATAACAATATTTTTTTGTAAATTTGTTTTTCAAAAAAATATATTTCAAAAAAAAGGGTATATTTATAATAATTGTGTATATGCATATATACATAATTCATGTAATTTAGAATCCAAATTTAAATCTAGATCTAAATAAGTTTTATTAGATTTCATTCTAATTATTTTACAATGAATAATAGTAATATGAATATAAATTACATAATGATAACATATTTAACTATTTAATATTTACTTAAGAAAATTGACAATAGAATTACTAAAAATTTTTTTTGTATAAAAAAATTATATAATTACATAGATTTATGTTAATTTGATTTTTACATGTCAAAAAAAAAAAATATCACAAAGTTATATAAGGATGTTTTTTTTTCCTTTTACTACTTCATTATTTTTATTGCTTTCTTTTTAAATTTCTAAATTACATATATACAATATATAATATATTTGATACATCTAACATTTTTATTTAATATACAATTTGTTATCAAATAAATTATAAATACATAAACATAAATTTTTGAACAGAAATATGAATATGAATATAAATACTTGAATGAAAATACTCAAACACAAACATGAATACTCAGACAGAATACTTGAATGTGAATATTTAAAAGGTATACTTGAACTCTAGAGTATAAATTGAGTTAAAACTACTTTGATAAAATATAAAATATTAATAATTCAAAGAGAACAACCTATTCATGCCATTGGGAACTGAACCATGACTAGTACCAATGAAGTGAGATTGGTTGAGGTTTACCTTCCCAACCAATGAGATACACCTTTTTATAATGGTTGGAATAAGTAGAAGATATATATTCTGAAATAAAATATCTTAATATTTAGTTTAGTTTTAGTTTTTTTTTTATGTAAATTTAATAAAAATATGTATTTATAATTGTAATAAAGTTAATAAAGTTAATATAACGTTAAAAGTAAATAATAAAAATTTTTTAAAAATAAATGAAAAGAATTATTATGCAATATAAATCAATAAAAATTAGTTGCTATTAATTTTTTGCCAAGTATTATATCGTTACTAGTGCTGTTTCTGTCGGTGTATTACTGTTGATATCGTGTTTGTTACTGCTTTGTTTAGTCGTTGAAATTAAGTTGTTTAATTTTTAGTCAGGTATATTAAACTCTACCAGGGCCACCTGCCGTAGTTGTAGCAGATGAATCAGTATTGGATTTATAGTGCTACGTATTTCTATGAAAATTTTGACACTGTATCGGTATTGCATTTTTGCATATTGAACATAGGTGGCGCCACCACATGATCCGTATTTTTGAAGGCCACTCTGGTAGAGTTGTCATATTGAGCTTTTAACTAGTTAAATGAATTTTCAACTAGCCATATTGAATCAAAGATTTATTGTACTGCAATGTATTAACCACCACGTCTATTGCCACTACACCACACCTATTGCCACTATGCCTATTGTAACCACACCTACCTACACCACAGTCGTCTACATCGTGATAATGGAAATTATAAAAGAACGAGGATGAAATGATGGATTTATATGATAATGAAAATGATATAATTGTTTTAAAAACAAATACAGCTTTATATATAATTTTATTGAAGCTTCAGCAAATGTAATTTGATCGTGTTATACCTAAGGCCGCAGACATTAGAATATCAGATAACATATAGCAGTGACGTAGAAGTGACGTATGGACTTCAACTAACCAAATTTATATTGCGTAAAAGTGACATGAAAAGGTAACTACCTTTAACCTTCTAGATATTTGTATTTATAGTTATATCTCAAGTACTTGCATTATAAATAATGCAACTTTATAATTTTCACTAAGGTTTCAACAAATTAATTTGATCGTGTTATATCTCGATATTAAAATTTCAGTAAATTAATTTTATTTATGATATTAAAATTCAGTAAATTAAATTTTAAGTAAATAAGTATTAGAATTATAAAGAATTAGCCTGTATTACTATATCCCGTGAAATAAACTTATTAACTTTGAAGTCCAGCTTCCCACATGTTTAATTTAATAACCCTATTTAATCTACTACTCGAAAACTAATTTGACGATTCAGTCATATTGGCATGTTCAGAAGATTTTCTTTTTTTTGATGATACCAATTTGAGTTTCTTTAAAGATTTGAGAGGCTTGAAGGAAGAGTATTTTTTAGGTTTTTCGGGTTTCTAAAAATAGATTAGAATAGAATTAGAATAAATGTAGAAAGGTATACATTGAAAAAAAAAACGCGTAATTTACATACCTTTTTATTACTACGATATGAATCACGGTCACGCTTTTTTTCATAAATAACCGATTTTTTACCATTATTTAGCATAAAGAAACGGTTTTCTGAAGTACAATCATCAAAACTTTTATAAATGAAAGAACGATCAATAATCTTGTATCTTTGGTTATCTTCTAACGAAAACCAACTTGCAGTAATGATGTTATCATTTTCATCTATTAAAGAAAACTCTTGAACATCAAAAGCTTTTGCTATTTCTTGTTTGATATCGTCTTTAGAATCAGTTTGAAAAAATCTGAATTTTATATATGAACTCGAAGAAGCTTGAGACTGACAGTCTTGGTTGTCATCTATATTATCATGAGGCAAAGGTGGATAAGTAAGAGAGAGTTTGACTGATATGTTTTTTGGAGGAGAATTGGTTAAAGCAATATCTAAATAGGGATTTGGATGAAATGAAGACATTGGATTGTTTGAAGGTATTTGCGATTGAGATGACATTTTTTGGATTTAAATAAGGTCGCGTCGTAATAGTTATAATAATAGATGTAATAATAATGATAACAGTAACAATAGTTAAAAGTAATAATAGTTACAAAAGTAATAATAGTTATAAAAGTAATAATAGTTATAAAAGTAATAATAGTTATAAAAGTAATAATCGGTATAACAGTAATAATCGGTATAACAGTAATAGTATGATTTTTGATTTAATAAATATTATAAGATCGATAATTAGTTCGATGCTATTGGGAAGGATCGCAGAATAGTCGGGTCAAAGATAAAATTGCATAGATTATTTATATAAGTTTCCGACAACAACAAATTTATAAATTATTGTTATGCTAATTAAGAAGTTATATGACTATGGACAACTTCAATGGGAGTTTCTAATCCGACGAAAATTGACAAGCAACTTTTAGCATAACATCTTGATAATCCTTTAATACAGTAATGTAATTAAAACAAACCTATTAACCTTAATTCGAATATGCATATGCATATATTATAAATATTATAAGTGATTTTTAAAAAAAGGAAAATTAATCATTGTCACCCGATTTATTTTTCATCATGTTAGTTGTACATTTGTCTTGAGATCACTTATTAGTTGTTTAAAGGAGGGTTTTTCCTTTTTTTTAACGACATACATGATCGGTTCAGAAGTATGGTCAAAAAAAATTAGTAAACATTATTCTATGTTGAAAACTAAATAGTCGAATAAATTATAACAGACAATGATAAACGAGTTTTTAAGCGGGATAATAAATCAGAGACTTGGACTTTTATGGTATCTGAAATTTTTTTTTATTCCGTTATGCTTTTCTCTAATTTCTTACTCCGATCATTATTGGTTGACCTTTTATAGTAATACTTATTATTAAATTTTGATCTCAAAATTATTTTTAAAAATCATATTATGTATTATGTTACTTATATCTTTGAATTAATATATAATAAATATTATTAAAAAAATACTTTAGCACTTCTTAAGTTTTAATGTGTAAAATATAAATCAACTACACAGTGGATACTTTTGTCCGTACGGCATTTGCGAACACTTTTCCGCGCAATATCCGCAAACCTTCGTTTGCGCTATTCATATTCCTAAAAATAAAAGTGGATCATCATCAAAATATCTATATTATTAATATTAATTAGTCACAATGTCGATACCATCTACTTGTTTAGTATAAGCTTATGGAAGTTAATTAAGTATTTTTTTTCTCTTATTAGGAACTAAAAAAAAAAAATAGATTTTGAGATAATTTTAATTCTGCTGCATAAAAGTTTTTCAACAAAGCAGTCGGGATTATAGGTTACCAAAAAAATCCGTATTTTTTTCCAATTTTAGAGTCTTCCGGCCGGCAGTCCAAATTTGGGGTTGTCTAAAGCGGAGATAAATCATGTGGCAGTAAGCCAATCAAATCATGATAAATTCGAAGCAAAAAAGGTGAAAAAAATAGAAGAAATGGCAGTCTAAACCTACTTTGAGGTATTAATGAAAAAATATCAGGAAGGCAATTTTATTATATAGACACACCTAATTCTAAACCAACCCTAACCTAAAGTGGTCTTAAAATTAATTAATTTACATAAGTTATCTCCGCTCCCAAATTTGTCTATATTGTCAATAACAACACATTATGCAATTTCACATCAATTTTCACAAAAACATAACCATTATCACTATATCAAATAAAAACATAATGAATAAAGATAGCATTGATGAATTTTATTATTAATTTCAATCGTAAAAGGAACATTGATGAATTATTATTAATTTCAATTGTAAAAGGTATTTTTTTTACAGCTGTTTATTTTGATCATCTGATTTCGGCCGACATCAGTAACTTTTGATTACAACTACCGATTCGGTCACAGTTGTAATTTTTGGAAATAAGAAACCAAATTTAATTCGGTATTGTTATCGCATATATAATTCCAAGGTAAATATTTTACATATCTATGTTCTTTTAAAGAAGAATATTATTCATTGTTCGATTTATTCTCCGACCTTAGTCGCACACTTGTTCTTAAAATTAATTTATCATTTTAATAAAATTTCCATTTTTTCGCAAAGCATTTGATCGTTACATTCATGAAAACATGTACTTTAAGTTTGTTCATTTTATGCATAATTAAGTAAATAAATATTCCAAAAAAAAGCAATCAAAATTTTTCATTGCCGCTATTCTTTTGAATACTTTTTCTGTTATTCGGGTCATCAAAAATTCGTACAACTTCAAATAATATCTTGTTTTTTAATTTAAGTGATGTTAAAGGTATAACCCATAAAAATAGGAAATCTGAATTTTTCTTTCAGATTTACGGTTTACTTTTTTTTACTTTTTTTAATTGTTTGTTATTTTGTGAAGCATTAAAGGTTAAAATTAAGTGATTTCTCAAATTTCGGACAAAATATTGGTTTTTTTTTATAATCTGGATTTTTAACCAATGCACGTACGTGATTAAAATCAAGTAAAAATTTTGGAAAGTTTGATGAGTATAAGCGACCTGACCATATTCCCAATATGTCAAAATTCGGTTCACCCTAAAGACTAAATACTCCTATATCTTGGTCGATAATTTATTTATATTTTTTTTTTGATATTGATGATTCGCGAAATTAACGGCCAAATTTTTTTTTATTTATTTATTATTTGGGAAAAATACACTTAAGGAACGTAACAATAACACTAGGTAATAAGAATCAATGTATTGCTACTTTTTAAAATTAATTACAGGCTTTTTTTTGTTATTTAATTAATCACATGAATGTTTTTCTACGAATCCATATGCATTCTCAATTTACAGATGATTTCTTCGATTGCTCGTGCTCTTCAATAGGTTCAATGGGTGAATCTATCATATCTAATCCTAGATGAACTCCAGAATGAGACGTTCCATCTAAAATATCTTTAATTTGACCCAACCTTTTTAAAATCTCATTTTCATTAACACCACCACTAGTTTCTTGATATTCAATTTGCATATCTTCTAATGCATGTGTATAAACATTTTTAGGATGTGGATTAGTAAAAGCCTCATCTATTTTGGCGTCCAAGTTATCTAGAGTTACAAAAGTTGAAGCATCATGATATAAACTCAATAAATGATTAAATCCTTCTTGACGTTTCATTGATTGAAACTTTTTATAATTTCGAATTCCTGCTTCGCGTTTTTGCTGTCGATATTCAGGTGTAATAAACTCTTGTTCAGATGATAAAGATAAAATTCGTTCAGTTTCTTCTAATTTTTTTAATTCTTGTCGACGCTCAACTTGGATTTGTTTTTTCCATTGTTTTTGATTTTTTAAAAGATCTTGCACTAAAGAAATTGATGTATTGTCAGTATAGTTGTTAGGCGAAACTATTTTTTGTAAGACGAAAACCTAACCTCCTGAAGAGCGAGACTGACGATACTTCTGTGAAAAACTCAACCCCCTGCGAAAGATGAAACCCCTTGGTGAAAAGACAAACATCAATCTAAATCATAAGAATATACACTGATATAAACAATCGACAATGCAGATAATCAGATAACAAATTCACTATCACGTGAGGATCTACGTGTAAGTATACTTGGCAAAATCCCAAACTATTATTCCTTAAACTGTAGGCTTTTGCAAACAAATTTGCCTGTTTTTTATGTTTTTTTAACTTTGATCTACTTTTTTGAAATATTAAAATATTTAAATAAAATTTGGTATAATAATATTTGAAAATAAGGATTACTTTTTTGCAGTATTTATTTT